ATTGGGTGAGTCAATGATTTGATGTTTTGAAGACTGAATGGTCAAATTTCATTGACCTTGAGCTCAATCCATAGCATACACTACTGGTCAGAAGTTTAGAATTATTACTTTTTTTATGTTTTCGAAAAAAGTATTTTCTGCTCACCAAGGCTGCATTTATTTGGTGAAAAATATGGTAAGAACAATAATATTGTGAAATATTATTACAATTTAAATACAATTTAAAATAACTGTTTTCTATTGTAATATATGTTAAAAAGTAATTTATTTGTGATGCAAAGCTGTATTTTCAGCATCGTAACTCCAGTCTTCAGTGTCACATGATCCTTCAGAAATCATTCTGATATGCTGATTTGCTGCTCAAGAAACATGTTTTTTTTAGAATTTTTGTTGAATAGAAAGTTCAAAAAGAACCGCATTTATTTGAAATTGAAATCTTTTGTAACATAATAAAAAAGACTTTACTGTCACTTTTAATCAATTTAACGCATCCTTGCTGAATAAAAGTATTATTTTCTTTCTTAAAAAATAAATAAATAAAAACTCCTACCAACCCCAAACTTTTGAATGGTAGTGTATCGCAGTTTCCATAAAAACACTTAAGCGGCAAAAACAGATTTCAATATAAATAATAAGAACAGCAAATCAGTATATTAGAATGAAGGATCATGTGACACTGAAGACTGGAGAAATTCAGCTGAAAATTCAGCTTTGCATCACAGGAATAAATTACATTTTACAATATATTCAAATAAAAAAATATTACCCTTTACACAATATTACTGTTTTACTGTATTTTTCATCAAATAAATGCAGCCTTGGTGAACAGAAAATACTTTTTCTCAGAAACATTAAAAATCGATCTAATTATTGAAACTTGTGACCGGTCAAAATATCTGATGTACGTGTATCTCTCTCATAGCGACAACCCGATGGCTGATATTTATGGTGCAAATCTGTACAACCGCTACCTCAAAGCGATGCATCGCACCCGTGCGCAGGCGCAGGGCGGCTCGAGCAGCCAGGTGCCCGGAGACCTGCAGTGTGAAGCTTCCGACGATGCCAAAGGTTCAGGACGGGTGATGGTGGGAGGCTCGTTCGATCACCATCTGCCCGAAGGCTGCAGCTCCATCCTGGTCTGCACGGGCGTCTACAACCGTGACCACCAGGACCTGCCCTCGGACCCCGAGCAGACAGTCACAGAGCAGCAGATCTTTCACGGTCACCGGGACTTCCGCTTCGACCCCAGTCTGACACAGCCCTCCTTCCACGGTCACCGGGACTTCCGCTTCGACCCCAGCCTGACCCAGCCTTCCTTTGTCGTCCATGACGTTCGGGATGGAGTGGAGTTGGTCTTCCAGCTGGAGGGTTGGTCACTGCAGTAAACCATCGTTTATTACACCACGTCTACATGCCATGCGTCACGACTAGGGCTGCAAAACGATTAGTCACGATTAATCTATAAAAAAATTTAAAAAAAAGAGTTTGTTTACATACTATATGTGTGTGTACTGTGTATATTTATTATGCATATATAAATACACACACACACATATATGTATTAGTGCTGTCAAACAATTAATCGTGATTAATCGCATCCAAAATAAAAGTTTTTGTTTACATAGTGTATATATTTTGAAAATATTTGCATGTATTTACATGTATGTATATATATTCATATAATTTATATTATATATTAATATATTTAATATATA